TACGCTGATGTGTATTTGTCGGGTCTTCTGGAACGTCATGCTCGGTCTTTGTCTAGGCATATCATCAGGCGCCGGGATAAAACCGATAAAAGCCAGAGCACACAAACAATTCATTGGTCCTATCACTTCGGATGATTTTGGGGCGGTTACTCTGTGAGTGACGACGACTAGATCCCCATGTGTTTGTTTCAGAGTTTGTGTACGAACAGCCTGGCTGGATAAATTGACGGTCAGTTGATTTGTTGCGTCAATCATTTGGGCTACAAACCCTACACGGGGAATCATACTATACCCACGTGGTTGTAAATAGACACAATGGACTAAGGTGCTTTCTCTTGTTAAGATACATGGCAAATCTTCCAGAGTACAGCGCTGGTAGTCGTCTTTAATGGATTCCGAAGACTCAAATAGCACTGAACTTACATAAACTTGTAGTACAGAATCATCCGGCAATACTGTGAGTCTACGTGGTAGAAATCCAATGATTGGTTTGCAATTGAAACACGTTGCGCTCACATTGCAACTGTAAATGCCCGAATCTGTAAGGGTCAGTTCTTTCTTGTCCAAACGAAATGCAAAGCTGTTTGCTACACGATCATACGCTCTGTGTCTGTGCAGTTCAAACGGAGGCTGTTGAGTTTCATCATATTGATAAAAGCACTTGATTTTATCTTCATTTTGTGTACCGTCGAAGCCGAACATCGATACATTTGAACCAACATTCGGCGAGGCAATCCAAACAATATCCAACTTGACCAATCCGTAGTTAGTAAAAGAACCAACTGGTATGTTCAAGTCGAGCTGGTTTTCGTTCTCCGGTTCGAAAAGGCAGGTAGAAACCACGCGTTTAAGGTTGGATAACAAAATTTCAGCCAAAGCAGTATTGTTAGTCCTGGGATCGTGTGCATTGTGGACCATGTAGCTGAGCACTTTGTGTTCCCGTCTAAGCAGACAACTGAATGAGGCATTGACAATGTTATAGTTCACTTTAGTTTTTGATTTACTCATATTCTTCAAGTTCTCAGGCAATTCAGCGTCGGTCATTTCATGAAGATTATTTAATTTGCATGGCTCTGAAATAATTTCGTGTTTGTGAAGAGGGAACATAGGCCACATGGATAGTGACCCCCTAGGGATACCCAGAGTTGCTACTAGATTTACTTGATAGACATTTTCCAATAAACGTTTCACTTCTGTGTTGTTAAATTCTTTCGCCGATTTGATGGTAGTCTGAATATTTTTCTCAATCTCTTGTTCATTACTGGTAGCCAGCTTGGAGTAGACTACAGGGTGTACGAATGCTCTGACCTCGATAGTCTTGGTTGATTCGATTGTGATCGGCTCTCGATCACCAGCTAGATCTGGCGGTGTTAGTTTTTCAAATGTGTAATTCCAACGGCACTTCGCTTCCACGAACCCAGTGAACTTTTCGATAGTCGGGGCAACGAAACGGTACAAATGCAACAGTTTATTCTTCTGTCGTTCTATACTGAGGAGTGTGACTTCGAATGTGAAATTGTTTTCATTTGACTTAATTGTGAATTGGAACTCTGAAGACTGAGGAGCACCCGGGGGTATCTCCTGCAAGCAACCGATAACAACTGAGTGTCCATTCAGAACTACTGGTTGATTTTTCTCATTGCATTGGGTGAAATGTCCTTCCCATTTGTCACTGGTTGTCAATACTTTCTCTGTGACTAATATTCGTACAACAGATGCATCGGGCAGAACTATCAGACGGCGGGGAATGAATCCAACTGACTCAGTGCATCCGTCACAGTCTCCACTCACTTTGCATGCATAAAACCCGGAATCTTCGTAAGTGGAATTGGTTTTGATCACGGAAAAGGAGACCAAATTGCTCCCCGGCTCGCCAGTAGTCGTGTCAGTTTCACCGCTTGCTCGTTCAATCCTAAAATTATCACTCATATTGCGTTTTGTTGTACCTTCAAGCGGCTGGTATGTGCACAAAATGTTCCTATCAGACGGACCACCAGCACTGCCAACCATGTGAACCGGTGCACCGATTTGCACAGTGGCCTTCCAACCAACTCGGATTTTGGCCAACTGATATATCAATCTTCGACTTGACTCNTCGGTCACTCTCTGACTCAATGCCTCTAACATTGTCCTTTTCAATACGTGCCGATCACTCTCTCTTCCATAAATATCGTAGGTCATGAACCCGGTTGCTAAGTGTTCCGCTCGTATTACGCAAACGAATTGGGCACGAATAAAATGATCTCTCTTCAAATGCTGTTGAGTCGATCGACTTTTGACACTGACAGGCACTTCCTCTATTTTCAGGTGTTTCTCATCGGTTTTGATGCACAATTCAATGATCATTTTCGCTCCCGACTCATATATAACAAAAGCAAAAAGTTCTGAACGGGGAGTGCCAAGAGAAGCTACAGTGGATAACTGGAAAATTCCTTCTTGCATCTGAGATTTTGTGACCGATTTCAGATAATCCTCGGGTGAACCCACACTGGGTTTGGCATACCGTAAAGAATATTCTAAATCTTTGTTGGATGCTTTGATTTCTGAGCTAAAGATTTTTGGTAATACACGTTCAGCAAACGCAACGGGACTGGATTTCACTAAGGGTTTGATTTTCTTCTCCAAATGTATATCCTTCTCGTCAAATATACTATCATCATAGTCCACCTGACACTGAATAGTCACCGGATCGTAATATTCATCGACTTTTGGACCGCCCACTTCAAACACACCTGTGTAGACCTTAGAGTTGCTATTGTGTTCGCCTCTTTCAGTGAATGATAAGTTCCTAACTGCACTGTCTGTCGTAGAGCTTTTCATGAAAACAGAGAATTGAAGTTTCTCTTTTTCCGCCATCCCAGGCACCCGCTCGAATTGACAATAGACAAACATACTCTCACCCTCCCGCAAGACGGGCTCTTTGTTTTTGTTGTATTCCTTCCAGTCCGTTTTCGCTGATTCACCCTCGTTCAACAGCCTTCGGTTGTAATAGATCGCAAGCACATTTGCATTTGGTATGACTAGTAGGCGACGAGGCGCAGCTAGTAAATGCTCATCACATTGTCCAGCGCATGGTTTATACACGCAGTGGTAGATTCCGGAATCGGACATTTCAGCCGGTTTGTCGGGCTCGAAATAAATGAATGAATCCATGAAACCATTATAACACTCCACTTTGGAACTCGACATATCAGTTTGATAGTAACAAATAAATCGAGCGTTTTGCCATCTTTCTTCATGGAACGTCAGCCACTGATGCGCAACCAACATTCTCCACTGCCTTTTCATGGGCACAGATCCAAACCAACCGATGTTTAGCCTCTGTACGCGCCAATCTGCGCGTGTATTTATGCTGATCTGCAATTGTCTATCCTCCTTACTACTGGGATTTTCGAGCCAAAACTGTACATAACTCACAATGTTCTGTATGATAGCCTTTCTGACTGCCAATTCATCTTCATTGAACACGGTGAATACAACTAAAACTAGAGCGATGTGTTCCGGTTGCAGCGTGCACACGTATGTTGTGTTCTCATAGTTTGCGCCTTTCGATGTCCGATAGGTTGGATGCTCTTTTACGAGGGGCGGTGTATTCGATTCAATCAAGGACATGGACTCTTTTTGAAAACAGTCCTCTGTTTGTAGACCATTGAATTCGTAAATGGTAAAAGCGAGCGATTGTCCACGAGGTACACCGAGATTTTGCACCACATTGATTTTAACATTTTGTTCTATCAGTCTGGATGAGGAACCGGATTTATGAAAGAGTTGTGCACTCAATGGGCTGAACGTTTCTCGATGAAGGAGATTGTCTAGAAGGTGATGTTTGTTTGACGACAAATACTCAACAAATATGCGCGGAGCGAGCATCAGTTTTGCACTGACATCACGTTTCTTCTCTAGAACGACTGGTAATTGTAAACCACTGGCATCGTGACCCACTAAATAAAGTTCTTCATAAGCGAATTGGCAAATCAGTATCAGATCGCCTTTCAACTGTTCAGGTGTGGGTCCTTGAATAGTAAATCCAGTTATGTAGTGTGGTTTTTGATTTATTTGACTCTTGACTTCGGTTTCCCTAGTGGCATTTAAGCCAACTAATTTCCTTTCAGTTGCATCGAACATTTGATAGACCAGTTGAACTGTCGGCTTCATTTGCTCAAATAAGGATATTGGATAGGCACATCGCACGCTCACATTTTGTTCTGTGAACAAATACGGATGGGTGTCTCGTATGCACTGGATGAAATTTGCTTCATACGGACCATTCTCGGTCAGAGTCTGATGATTTAACATCAAAAACAGCATATTTTCATCCGGAAGTACATAAACATTTCGAGGGGCCATACCAGATCGAAAACCACAATTTTCACACAGATTATCCTTGCACTCATATATGCCGGAGTCATCGTAAGTGACCGAGTCTTTTATCAGTTCAAAACCCTTGATACCATCATCCATTGCTTTTAGAAACTTTATCTCCTCCCCCTCGCCTGGACCAGTGTCAACAGTTCTTCTCACACAGACTATGGCGTTTTCTAAGCTTTCGCTAAATCTACCGACTATACGAATACGCTCCCCAATTCGCAGTATAGCTTTCCAACCCACATTGAGCTTCACCGATACGTGCCTAGACTTGGTACGCAATTTCTCTTTCAAAAGCTTCATCTCATCATCATCTGATTGCACCGGGTTCGATCCCAATATTCCGTGCTTCAAATCATGCTTAAATACGCTTTCCTCTTCTTCCATGGACAAAGTGTGATCGTAAGCATTGAACAAACCCAATATCATCGCTATGTGCTGCGTGATCAGTATACATTGAAACTTGAGCTGTTGAAAATTGTTACCTTTACTTTGTTTATAAATATCCCTTTGTGTGAACTCAGAGGAGTGTTTCGTCAAGTCCGTAACGCTTGACGGAGCACATTCTTCAAATTCTATGTCCGATCCGTGCCGATAAACCAACCACAATTTTGAACGTCCCTTTGGTATGCCCGCAAACACGGTGAAAGTGACGTTGATCGGGTTCTCAACAAGTGACACGGGTGAAACTTTCGAATTGAACAATGAGGTTTCCGCTTTCTGTGAATGGTTTGCTTGAAGCTGCTTTTGCAACTCCTCCTCATTCGAAAATATCAAATCGGATATAGCTTTCGGTAATAGACGTTCTTTCACCATGATCGTCCTCATCGTAGTCACTTGAACAGCCGCGTTCTCGCTCAATAAATCGCCTGCATCGCGTGTACGTTTAGTCAGGAATATATCAAATCGAGCTCTCGTATGATTCCAGTATTGCATCGGTTCTGGGGCTGTGAATGTGTATCTTATGGTGAGACCATGTGTATGATTGTCTGCTCTAGATGCTTCACCCAGCTTGCTTGATGCAATTTCTTGGTACGATTCATTTAATGGATTGTATGTTTCATAAGTGAGCCGAGTTGAAGTCTGAGCTTGAAAACCGTGTCCAAATTCAAAGGAGTATTTCACTGTAACTCGTTGTCCAGACAATACCAACACGGATCCATTTTCACCCTGAACAATCTTTTCATATTCCAGTTCGGTCTTTAGATCTTCCGATGTCGGAACGACTGCTACCGTGAGAACTGGACCCAGTGATGTTAGTTTATCCGGTCCAAAACATCTGTATTGTCCGGAATCGGTCAGATCACTGACTGGTTTGTAAAGTTTATAGGTATTTGTGTTTTCTATCTTATTAAGCTGAAACCCAGTCGGTAAAGCTGACCAATGATCAGATTCAGCCTTCCGGTATTCACAATGAGGCTTACCCTGGGTAACGGTTTTCATGTCCCAGTGCATTGTAATTTGTTCACGATGACTCACGGTTGCAGCCCAACCGAGCCGTACACGAATTAAGCGATGCTCAACTACACTATCACTGTGACTGGTTACGGACTTTAGATTCAATGGTTTCGAAGTTTGGAGACGTTCACTGATCACTTCTTTCAGAGATTTTGTATAAGCTTCTTCCACTTCTTTTTGTTTCACTTGTGTTCCTTCTGTGTTAAATGCAACCAATGAGATGCCAATTATACGAGGATGCAGCAAACAGCGAAATGTTGTCTGCGTTAAAACAAACTGACCATAATGATCCTTCACATCCTGCCTATCGAAAAGCTGCTTATTGTTCTCCGGTGTCATGATGTTTTCAGAAACCGAGCATATCTCCATCCTGAGAATACCATCTTCTCGAGAGATGAGCCACACTACTGTCCAACCATCATTTCGATAGTGCATACTATGAAACGATCCGGAAAAGAAGTCAACCAATATGGGTTCTTTTGGATCACTGGAAAATGAGGCAATATCTGGAGATGTGGCGCTAGCTTGCCGTAACGCATTGGTAACGTTCGGGTAATTCGTATCTATGCCCCAATCAAATATGACTGGTGGTTGATAAGCTGAGGCGATAACACTCTCGTTGGCGTAATGTATCACATTCCACGGAGTGAACTGTCGATCGTGTGTCACAATAGATTCATCGGGCGTATAGGAGTATTTGCATGCTAAAAGATGCTCCAAGGTTTTTCCTTTGATGAATAATGTGTTCAACTTGTACGACTGGATCCAAACAAACATGTGCTGAGGATAGTCAATTTTTTTTTCGTGAATCCGTGTTGAACCATCCGTCTGAGGCTGTTTTTTCACATAGTTCTCGAATATCGGACCATTATAATTATCCAGTCCCTTGGACAGATTGTATATGCAATTGGCAATGACCATTTCACCGGATCGCACAAAAATTCGACCAAGTTCATCACGTCGTCGCAACTCCACGTTGGTCGAATCCGGTGAATTTAGATATTCACTAGTCAATCTCACAGTCACGTGTTCCGCCTTCGGCAACACGATCAGATGCATTTTTTCCAACCACAGATTTTTATCCTCAAAGCATCGGTATTCTCCACTGTCCGATACGTCCAGCTCACACATTCGTACTGAGTTTGATTCCGATAGAAAACGCATTCTCGGTTGCTCGACAAACGTATCACCGCGACGCACAGAACATGTCACTTTGCCGTCTACGTCTTCGTCAGAGGACCATGAACTACATTCACCAACTGAATAGATCATACGACGTGTAGCTAATACACGAATGAATCGTACGGGAAACGGGTCAGTGGACTTTTCCATCATCCCAGCCGGTTTTCCTTCGACCCAAGCGGTTACAAGTGGCCTTATCTCTCCCATCACCTTTTTCACATCATTGCGATCCATTAGAATTAAAATTGCTTGAATGTTTCTTTCCGCACGGAAATTAAATTGGTTCTTGTACACGTAATTCTTATACTTTTCAGCCAGTTGTATATAGTTGGAAAATCGATGACAATTTGTGTCCGCATCATCAGGCGTAATACTGTTCCCGGTCAGATCGACGATGTCAACCTTATCCTTCTTGGGAATGCGTTTGACAACGAAAGCAAGTGTGCGTTCTTTTATAAAACTCCACGATAAAACAGTTAAATCCGTTTTCATATTTTCCTGGATAGATACAATTTGTTCCCGGAATTTTTTATAATATAACCTATATTCGTCAGGAATAGAAAGTCTCTCCACCAGTTTTGGAGCATTAGATGAATGACCAGATTTGGCTATTTCACTACAGAAAATATCTTCAGATGTCGTTGTGTCCAAATAACCGTATCGCCTTTTCGCACCATCGATGATTGTGTGAAAACTGTGAATACTGCCCACTGATGGCAAATTTTTGCTAAATATATGAGATGTGACGTATGTTCTTCTTCCATCCCAACTGTAAGAGTAGAAAGTGAGATCACATGCTTTCCAATAATCAATCCACCTAGAATACTTGTCAAACATGCAACATGAGCCAAGGGAATTGTGCGTTAAATTCACACATTTTATATAAACGTGCCCACTAGATACGTTGTAGAATTTGTAAGTGAACATACTGACCTCTTTGTAAACTCGAAAGTTTGCGAAATGTGTATCTTTCCCCTCGTATTCACCTCGAGCAAAATAGGCAAAGACGACTCCGTGCTCCTCATATGCACATAAATTTTGATCTGATATGTAGTCTGCATCTTCATAATATTGCATTGACTTGCAAATGGCATCAGCAAAAGCAAACCAAATTACGAACAAAAACCATGATTGGATGGAATTTTTTACATAACCCATTTTGATTAGGGCATACCATCCAGGCCTGTGCTTGCTTGTGTGACCGTTTGAAATACCCTACTGATCAAATCGATCGCGAGGGTCACATGAACTCGATCAGGTTTGCATCCGAAACAAAGCAATCAGCAGCAGATCGTGACCTTAGGCAATGGGTTTTTTTGCACATCGAACACGTCGCGGTACAGACCTTGGACAACATTCTAGTTTCATTATTCTTAGTTCTTTGGAAAAGTGGTCATTGTAAACTTATTGTATTAGTTTTCGAAAATATTTTTCAGATAAATATTTTCCTAATAAAGTTTTGTTTCAAAAGTGTATTCTTTCGTCTTTTGTTTTGATTTGTGACACGGACATCATGTCATCATGATTCTAACATGTATCGATCAGTCCAGGTACTGTTACCTATCATTCAAAGATGGATGCAAACTGGAACGACAGTGTTCACTGAGCAATGGACTGTCTCTCGTCAACTACGTTCAAATGGATATGTGCACACGTGTGTGAATCACATCAGTGATTTCCTAAGTCTGACAACCCGTATTCATACGAATAATGTGGAATTTTTTTGGGGTCTTATTCAGTCTTTAGTCCTCCTCTGTATTGAGGGCAGAGGGCAGGATACCCATCTAAGCCCCATCACCACCGGGTCGAAGGTCCGATCAGATGTATTCGTTCTTCCATATCTCCTTAAGGTGCTCATCCAAACGCCAACGTGTGAGAGTGTCCCCTCGTACCTTCTTCTGTCCGTAAAGGAAAATGCCACTGCAACTCCGGGCCCATTTCACTTCTGAGGATCTTCATCAAACAGATCAGATCTCCCCTAACGTGCTAATACGCAACTGGGAACAGACCAGTAGCCTGTAGACAACTTTCATAGGTGGTTCCACGTAATGCAACAACGAGTCTAGTGGCAGCACTTTGTACACGTTCCAACTTAACCAGTTCATCGACCGTGCATGGGTATGTCGCGGCGCTACCATACTCAAGTCTCGGTCTCACGTGGAAGGCGTACAGCAGTCTGAAATCATACATCGTGAACCAACTGAACGATCTCCAAATGGGTCCCCGAATGCTCCTCTCATTAGCACAGACCTTATCAGCGTTTTCTCGGGTCTTCAATGATGGCGTCACCATAACTCCCAGGTCCCTTTCGCACGATGTTCTCCGCGGTGTGATTTCCTGGAAGCTGTAGACCACATCTGAATCAGCACGCCCCAGTTGCAGGTAAGCACACTTTGCGGTGTAGACTGAAAGTGCCCTGGTGTCCGCTCACTGAGCCAGGGTGTTCAGATCTCCTTTACAGTACTCCAATCTTTTGCATCCTCGATTGGACGCCAGAGTTTTGATGTCAGCCGCACACAGGAGGTATGGGCTGTGCAGCTAACCGGGCAGGTCGTTGAAATAGACCACAAACAGGAGCGGACCAAGGATAGAGCCTAAGAGGACCATACTGGAGACGGAATAACACGTAGATAGCGATCTGTCAGCACGGACGCAGAATTTCTAGTTAATAAGGAAGTCTCATAATCAATTCAGCATGATCTCATCCCCACGACAAGGTTGGACAGCTTTTGCAGAAGGCGGCTTTTCTGGCACTTTGTAGAGATCAGTTTCCCCTTTCGCACGACGCTCTCTGAGCTCCTCCAATGCAGTTTTTAGTTTATTGCACTGGTCCGGATCATGATTTCCGAGGAACCTTACCGGCGGTGCCTTCAGCTTGAAATTCCACTGGAGTATCGCTTTGATCTCGTCTTCTGCCCAAAGAACTACGTCTAAGGGCCGCGGAGAGTTATTCTGGTGAGTTTTTCAAAGCCGGAAGTCCACTTTTGCTCGGATTGTTGCTTCGGTTTCCGCCTCGTTGCCTGCAAACAAGGTCACCATGTGCAATCGCGGTAACTGCAGGTCATGGTCTAATCTAACCTGAGAGGTGGTGGCCTCAGCCTACGAAAGATTGAATACAATGATGCATTGTGATCGCGAATGAACCTTCGTCTGTTGCACAGGTTCTTTGGAAACTCGGGGGCACCTCTTAGTTGTCCGGGACAGGTTGCATGCATGCTATCTGGATAACGTGGACGTCGAGGGAGCTGAGTCCGTCTGCGGAAGCGGTGCAGCAAATGATAGCATTGGCCTTTTCTTCGGCTGCTTCTTCCGCAGTGCGGTTGCAGGTGCTGCCTTCGTCGACAGAGTGGTAATGACGTTCGCATACGAAAGAGTATTTGTCACCACTGCAGCCAGTGTTATGGGGTTGGATCATTGTCCGCTTTTGGAGTGGCACTTTCGTTCGAAGTGGAGATCGAACACCTGCAGCACATGACCTTCGGGAATGGGGAGATATTTCTCGAGCCATTCGTACGCGCCCGTGTCGGTCTGAGAGCATTTAAGGTGTAACCACACATCGCAGCCATCACAACGGAGCGCTTTGGCCCAAGGGCCCACATTCCTGGAGCGGGCTGCACATGTGTTCTTGGTTACCTCACCTTTCTGGGACATTTTTGAATGAAAGAGATCCGACGAGGATGCATAAATACCACAATAATATTAATAGAAATCCGATCGAGCATACTGTGGAAAAACCAGTGTACCACATGTACTAAACAGTGATTAAAATAATGTTACCGGATCT